TGTTATTATTATTATTATTATTATTATCGATTTGTTATATAAGATTTATAAAAAAGTAATACTCGTAGATTACGATGTTAACACTAATCTGAAAATTTCATGCTCATCATCATCATCATCATCACCATCATCACATCATCATCATCATCCGGTGCCTTGCCGACTGGCGTGGGCAATCATGGACCTCCACTTCACTCTGTCTTGCGTTGCAGCAATGGTGTCTGTTGTTCTTGCTGTTCCCAGCAATGGTGTCTGTTGTTCTTGCTGCTCCCAGCAATGGTGTCTGTTGTTCTTGCTGTTCCCAGCCATGTTGTCATCTTGTCCAGTATCTTTTCCCTCTGTCTGCCTCTGCCTCTCTTTCCATCAAACTTGCCTATTGTTACAATATTCTCCACAGCTTCTTTTCGCATTGTGTGTCCAATGAACTTTGCCTGTGGCTTAGATTACTATGTTAATCAGTAGATTGTCAAGCAAGTGTCGGTGACACGGGGTTTAGAAAGTTTAGATGGGTGGTCACTGGGGTGTGTTCTGAGCAAGACACGACAACCCTAGCTCAAAATACAGGGCGCTGCACAGTGGCGACCGACAGTGGCATGGTTGTAAATTGTTCTGTACTGGTGTAATATTGTGTATTTATGTATGTATTTGTGCATGTATTTATGTATGTATATATTCATAATTATGTATGTTTGTATGTATGTACGTATGTTTACCCTTGTAAACCAAATTTGCATTTCTGGGATCAATAAAGTGTGATTTACTTTTATTTTTTAAATTTAAACACCTAGATCTAGACTAATCTGCAGATTAAGCATATCTAGTGACAAATGAAGAAGACAAGCGCTAGAGAAGAATGTAGAACTGGGATGTCGTGGGTTTGTTATCGACTCTTTAATAATTATGGCCCACCGTAACGGCTCATATATTGTTCGATCGGGGAGCTAGTTGGTTCTGGACAAATTTTGTTATCGAATTTTTCTCGCTCGTTCGTGGGAAAAACCGCTATATTGATCCATTTAAGTGCTTTAGATAGTTAGTTCTGTTCCAAGAACAAGGGGAGGGAGGGAGGGGGAGAGGGAGGGAAGGAGAGAGGGAGGGAAGGGGAGAGGGAGGGAAGGAGAGAGGGAGGGAAGGAGAGAGGGAGGGGAGAGGGAGGGAGGGAGAAGAATGGCTTCCACCACATACACACACACATATATACACAAATACACACACACGCACACACACACACACACACACTCACACATACATACATACAAACACATACATACATACAAACACATACATACATACACACACGCACACTAACTCACACACACTCACTCACTTACTCACACACACACACACAGAC